TGTGTGTGTATGTGTATGTGTGTGTATGTGTGTGTATATATAGATCTAGAGATAGATATATAATGTGTTTTTATTCAGCGCATCGCTTTAAATGCAAACCGTTTTGTGTGCTCTCAAACAAGTTGTATAAAACCCAGTGCTGCCCGTGGGTGGGTATGGACGGGTATCCATGGCATGAAACGAGCACATATTTGGGGACAGGTGCCCGGGGCCGGGGTAGTAGTGATGCCTTCCTTATGGCCGTGTAGTAGGAGCAAAGACGACATCCTAAGGGAGGGGTGCGCAGCTCCAGCTGTTATGGAAGGAAGAGCCCCATGAGGCATTGCAAGCCTGATCGTTACAGGCCGGACTCCCAGGGGCAGGGGCATGTTGGGGTTTGTAGTTAAAGCGCAGCCGGAGTTGCCCACACTTGCTCTAAGGCAGTGGTGGCGAACCTCGGCACTCCAGCTGTTTTGGAACTACAAGTCCCATGAGGCATTGCAAGGCTCTGACAGCCATAAGCATGACTCCCGGAGGCAGATGCATGTTGGGATTTGTAGTTTTGGCACAGCTGGAGTGCCGAGGTTCGCCATCACTGCCCTAAGGGAACTAGGAATTCTTATATCGGACTCGTTTACAGGGGTTCTAATAGTGTTTCTAAAGCCCAAACTTTATCTGGTGAGGGGACTTGTCAGGTTTTTATGTTTTGCAATCTGTGTCCTTTATTTTCCTTCACTTCCTGTCCTGTTCCTTACTAGCTGATAGGTGTTGTGTGTATTCTGCATCTATAATCATGTACACGTATATGATATACTTATCCCCATCCTTTTTAGGTGTGTTTTATCCATGGTGTACACGCACACGCATATACATATACGCACACTGATATACATATACGCGCACGCATATACATATACGCACACTGATATACATATACGCGCACGCATATACATATACGCACACTGATATACATATACGCGCACGCATATACATATACGCACACTGATATACATATACGCGCACGCATATACATATACGCACACTGATATACATATACGCGCACGCATATACATATACGCACACTGATATACATATACGCGCACGCATATACATATACGCACACTGATATACATATACGCGCACGCATATACATATACGCACACTGATATACATATACGCGCACGCATATACATATACGCACACTGATATACATATACGCGCACGCATATACATATACGCACACTGATATACATATACGCGCACGCATATACATATACGCACACTGATATACATATACGCGCACGCATATACATATACGCACACTGATATACATATACGCGCACGCATATACATATACGCACACTGATATACATATACGCGCACGCATATACATATACGCACACTGATATACATATACGCGCACGCATATACATATACGCACACTGATATACATATACGCGCACGCATATACATATACGCACACTGATATACATATACGCGCACGCATATACATATACGCACACTGATATACATATACGCGCACGCATATACATATACGCACACTGATATACATATACGCGCACGCATATACATATACGCACACTGATATACATATACGCGCACGCATATACATATACGCACACTGATATACATATACGCGCACGCATATACATATACGCACACTGATATACATATACGCGCACGCATATACATATACGCACACTGATATACATATACGCGCACGCATATACATATACGCACACTGATATACATATACGCGCACGCATATACATATACGCACACTGATATACATATACGCGCACGCATATACATATACGCACACTGATATACATATACGCGCACGCATATACATATACGCACACTGATATACATATACGCGCACGCATATACATATACGCACACTGATATACATATACGCGCACGCATATACATATACGCACACTGATATACATATACGCGCACGCATATACATATACGCACACTGATATACATATACGCGCACGCATATACATATACGCACACTGATATACATATACGCGCACGCATATACATATACGCACACTGATATACATATACGCGCACGCATATACATATACGCGCACGCATATACATATACGCGCACATATATATATATACACACACACACACACACACTTTAAGATCAGTGATGGTCAGTTTGAGATCACATTATGCTTTGCTTTTATCTATCCATATATGTGAGCACACAGCGCACATCTCCGACACCTGCGTACGTAGGCCATAAGAATCGGATCGCCTACCCTTGTACACCGGATAGAACTGACCTTTCCAGAGTAGTTAAAGCTAAAACGTAATTTAAGTCTAACCCCTTTTCGGTTTTTATTGCGTTCGTGTCCCATTGGGGATTTACGCTTCACTTCCTGTCCTGAAGACACAATAGAAAGAGACAGGAAGTCACCTTTTCGTCCTCATTGGCTCAGGCGTCCCCATTAGATGAGTTCCCCTTGCCTCCTGTTTCGAATTTCCAATCGCTTTCTGTCCCAGTCCCATGGCCACGCATCAAATATGGTTTTATCCGCTTTTCTGACCCATCCGGGTTCTCATTCCAGCTCTGCGGCCTGGCGCTGTTCGCCGAAACCATCTGGGCCACGACAGACCCGTACTACGTGTACCCGGTGCTGGGGGTGACGGGCAAAGATGACGTCTTCGCTGGTGGCTGGATTGGAATCTTCTGCGGTTTCAGCTTTTTCCTTTTGGGAGTGTATGGCATTGCGGCGGCGGTGAAGGGCAGCCGCACCATGCTCATTGTGGTAGGTCGTCAGCTGACTGGTTTGGCACCAATGGGATGGCAATGTGGATTATAACTCTCCATTTGATTTCCTCTCTAGTATCTGGTGCTGATGATGGTCGTCTATATATTCGAATCTGCTTCCTGCATAACGTCCTTCACTCACCGGGACTATGTAAGTCGTGGATATATCTGACTGGCCTTTTGTGGGAGGGGGAGGAGGGGGGGAGGCATAAAGCATCAGATGGGCTGTACTAAAAATGGAGGCTTACCATTGGTTTAGGCAAAAATTAGCAGAATCGGGCGTTTCCAGCACCTTGATTTTGAGTCGTGGTGCTGGAGTTGGCATTGGATAGTCTTTGCCATAGCAGGTCCCAGAGAATGAATGGTAACATGTAACCTATGGGGTTAAGCTTTATAGAGGGTCAATAAGTGTAAGGATTGCAGGAAGGTTTTGGGTTGGTATCTGGGAACGTGAGCGCATTCACCAGCAGGATTGGTGTTTTCAGTTATAGTTGGAATTACAGGCAGTCTTTGGGTTATGGAAAGGGTTGGGTGTTGGGTTTACATGGTGGGTTTGGTGTTGGGTTTATAGAAAGGTTGGTGTGCGGGTTACTGTTGAGGTTACAGGCTGGGTTAGTCTTGGAGGATACAGGGAGGGTTAGGTGTGAGGTCTTCATGGAGGGTTTGGTATCAGGGTTACAGGGAGGGTTGGGTGGGATTTATGGCAAGGGGTATGTGGGTTATTGAGGTTACAGGCTGGGTTAGTCTTGGGGGATAGGGAGGTTTGGTTGTAGGGTCTTTGAGGGTTTGGTGTTGGGGTTACAAGGAAGGTTGGGTGTGAGTTATGGGAAGGGTTTGTATGTGGGTTAGTCTTGGGGTATACAGGGAGGTGTGGGGTCTTTGAAGTTTTTGTGTGAGTTATGGGAAGGATTGGTATATGGGTTGAGGTTACAGGCTGAGTTAATCTTGGGGTTACAGGAAGGGTTGAGTGTGGGTTCTTTCCTAAGGATTTGGTTTTGGGGTTACGGGGAAGGTTAGGTAATATTTATGGGAATAGTAGGTGTGTGGGTTACTGTTGAGGTTATAGATTGGGGGTTACAGGGAGGATTGAGTGTGGGGTCTTTGCTGAGGGTTCGGTGTTGGGGTTACGGGGAAGGTTGGGTGTGAGTTATGGGAAGGATTGGTGTATGGGTTACTGTTGAGGTTACAGGCTGGGTTTATCTTGGGGTTACAGGGAGTGTTGCGTGTGGGTTCTTTGCTGGGGTTGCAGGGACGGTTGGCTGTGAGTTATGGGAAGGGTTGGTGTGTCGTTTACTATTGAAGTTTACAGCTGGGTTAGCCTTGGAGTTGGGAGAGGGTTGAGTGTTGGTGTTAAAGGTAAGGTTGGGTGTGAATTATAGGGAGGGTTGGTGTTTGTGTTACTGTTGAGGCTACAGGCTTCATTAGTCTTGGGGATACAGAGGGTTGGTGTATGGGTTACTGTTGAGGTTACAGGCTGGGTTTATCTTGGGGTTACAGGGAGTGTTGCGTGTGGGTTCTTTGCTGGGGTTGCAGGGACGGTTGGCTGTGAGTTATGGGAAGGGTTGGTGTGTCGTTTACTATTGAAGTTTACAGCTGGGTTAGCCTTGGAGTTGGAGAGGGTTGAGTGTTGGTGTTGGTGTTGGTGTTAAAGGTAAGGTTGGGTGTGAATTATAGGGAGGGTTGGTGTTTGTGTTACTGTTGAGGCTACAGGCTGCATTAGTCTTAGGGATACAGAGGGTTGGTGTGTGGGTTACAGGCTGTGTAGCTTTTTTTTAAAGAACAGTGTGTAAAGTTCATGGACCATACCAATCCAATCAGAAACAATATTTCATAAATTAACCGATGAAAGCTATTGATTTTCTCTGGGTTTGCACATTGTTCGGCCATTCTGGCTGTTGTTTCAGAGTTTGGTCTTTGTTCTATGTTCTCCATAATTGGTCTCGTGCAGGTCGCTTGAACTGTGTCCTGCTCACTCATGGTCTCTTTCCAGATGGTGAACTCCAATGTGATAAAGCAGCAGATGCTTACTTACTATGCAGCGAACGATACAGCTCAGGGCCGTGAGATTACCTTCTTCTGGAACAGACTTATGCTGGAGGTAAGTACAAGGAGTTCTGCTCTAGTGACTTGGTTGTCTCCATTTTGGTGGAGCGACCTGGAATTTTTAAAAATCAGGACTGTTGTTAAAGGATAGCATTGGTTTCCCGGAGAAGGTCCTGTTGGGTGAGAAATTTGTAACTCAAAACTTTAGCCGGCCCCCTCATAATATTGGTGTTTTGTTTGATTGCCCTGATCATTTGACGTTCTACTTATTTGCCCATTAGACATAGGCGACGACAAAAAAAATGTTTTATTTGGTTTGTTTCAGATTCTTCATCATTTTGTTTTCGGATTTGGGTTTTCGAAAGTCAATTCGTTTCGGATTTTGACGAATCCGAAATTTTCATAATTTCGGATGAGTAAAAATTATATTTACAAACTCATTTTCGATGCAGCAAAGTGACAATTTTTCTTTTGAAAGTCCACAGAAACAATTAAAAAAAAAAAACAGCGTCTTGTTCCCCATCTCCCCCCCCCCCCCCCCACTT